TATTCCTTCGTTCCCCTACTACGTTTCAAATGTTTGCCTCTCATCTGTAATAATTCACGATATTGTCGAAAATATTTCTCAATATTTGATCTTTATCTACGACAGTCCTCAACAACGTCTCGGACATCCCTCGGTATATGGTTAATATCCCTATAACACTATTTGGGGTACAAACGGCTGGGACAGTCTTACCACAAACTTGTGGTATATACCTGCTTATTTCTTATATGCACACGTCAGTTAATTTGCTACAGTCGTTGCAATGACACGTATTTTTATTTAATTGTTCTTATTTTTTTTAATCAGGTGGGATTATGTTTATTTATTACTAGCGTGCAGCATGGTGTTTAGCTTTCCTAAATCACTTGTGAGACGATAAATCAGATATTTCAGAAGAAGATGTAGTAATAGAAGATTAAAGAAAGATTAAGAAAGATTAAAGATTAAATCTCTTAAAGATTTAAGAGATTTTAATTTGCCCCAATCTTGCCTAAAACAAAAATTAGTGGCAAAATGTCACTAATAGCTAGAACAAGCAATAGTTTGGCAGAATGTGAAAATATTAATACTCTCGTTTGTCAGCTATCAACAGCCCGTTATAGTCAGTTTAGTGAGTTTTGAGGTTGTGTTTAATGTTAAGCTAACACGTATTTTGTCATAGAAAGATTTGCTTCTTTAGTGTGTACTACCAACTTAAATTTAACAGAATAAAAGATAATGTTGAGGGTCTTCAACTCTTAAGGTTCGAAAGGACACGAAATAATACCTGTAATGTATAACGCGTTTCTGGACTACAAAAACAACAATAAACGGTTTTTATGCTGCATAATTCGTCCTCCACAAGCTCAAATCCAGAATAACCAAATTATACATTAGTATTACTTTATGCACTTCAATTGTTTAAAAAACATCCGACTGAATAATATTTGTAAATCTGTGAAATTTGGAAAGAATATAAAATAAACAAGGGGTGGTAATTAAACAGCTGCTTTTCCCGAACTCAACGATGTTTCAACGTATTATTTCTGAATTCAACTTGGGGTTTAAATCACCTGCCTGTGATACATGCAATCTTTGCTCCCGACTAACATTTCCAATAAGAAATGATAAAATTGCAGTGACACGAAGTAAATTAATGCTGTAAAGGAGAGTACACAAAATGACAGCTAAATCCTTTCATTCGTACAAAAGATGACAAGAAACCCTATTCTGTCCGGCCAGGATGATGTGTGTGTTAAACTTATACTAGAAATAATGTGAAAAGAAGTCCCCTTTTGACTTTTTATTGACATAATTGCTAGTTAGTCAATTCTTACTGGCCTCTTTTGTTTTTTTTTGTTTTTGTTTCTGACATTTAATTGCAATAAAAGATTAATTTAATGATGATAAATTCGTCTTTGCGTATCCGTTTTATTTATAGATTTTTGATAACAAATTTAACCGCTACTTGTCTTGTAGAATAACCATCAGTTTCATGTACCCCATATTATTAGAGGCAATTTCTCATAAAATATTGTTCTAAATCAGTTAAACTCTCATTTAAATGAGGGATAATTCAATGTTCATCATAAATACTAGAATCTATCTCAATCGAATCGATCTAGTATAGGTATAAATAGTAGCAAAGAATATATTAATTTTATCTGCAAATATAATTATTTTAACGTAAGAATATCTTTCCATATCAATCAACGTATCGCCATTTCTAATCAGATACATCTTATGTTCATTTATAAAGATCATCATCGTTTTCAAGCAAGTTTATCTTAAATTGTTTAATAAAATCTTTGGTTTAATATAAAATAATCATGTACTTATCTCTAATAAATGGATATTTATGTTTAAGAATAGGTTTGGGTTAATATAATCTTTTCATGTGAAATGATATCTTAATATTTCGATAGTTTCTAATAATAATAATAAGTAGTGTATTGAAGCGCAACTAATTAGTCAAAAAAATTTTGCACAATAAAATTTCAGATAATAATGTGTTCCAACGTTATGGCCGTTTCACGGAGTGGAACCATATTGTTTTCAGGACGTCAACGTTATATGTCTTGTTACGACTTCCACCATCGAGTGAGGTTACCCGAATGGACTGGTCTGCTAAGAGCACAGACCTGAATTTCATAGAGAACCTCAAAATCCTGAAATAGTTGATAGAACTTACATGTCTTCGCCAATCCAAGTGGAAGAAAATACCAGCACCATCATACAAGGAGTTGTGGAAGGCATACTAAGGAGTGGTGAGGTTGTAATTGCTGCACGTGGACACTCTACTGAATACGCATAACGTTTATATCTTTTTACTATTACATGTGTCCAAATACTTAGTAATGCAGTTTATACCAATTTTGTATTGAGATGTACATAACAATGGTAAATCAGTGCATTGCTAATGCTACAACATAGAGTAAATTGCTAGGACGAATTCACGAGAAGTCGTGTCCATATATGTGAAAGCCATAGGAAAGATCCAGAAGATGGGTTTTACATGAATTGAATGAAAGACAACAGGAATACCGAGAAACCGCTTGCGAAATCCTCTTCGCCAGATACATAGGAAAGTCATTTCTCCAAGCGTAAAAGATCATGGGTAACTACAAACTAAACTAATATGGACAGAAGACAATGCTCTATGTTGGGTGGGATTACCAAGGTGTAATCTATTATGAGCTGCTAAAATCTGACGAAACCGTTAATACCAAACCCTACCAACAGCAAATGATGGATTAAATGTGGTCGTTCATTTAGTCGTCGAACATCAAATAAGGTAACACAAAGTGTACAAAATGCACAAACAAATTGTCAAAAAATGAATAGAGGCGTTTAGTTGGGAAATACTTTTGCAAGACTTAGCTCCGTCTGATTATTTCTTATTTACATCGATGGGACACGAACTTGCTAATCAGTACTTCATTTCTTACGAAAATTGATCGATGAGTGGTTTGTCTTAAAAGAGCAACAGTATTTTTTGGTGTTGTATCCACAAATTGTCAGAAAAGTACAAAGATGTATAGCTAGCCCATTAAAATACTTCGAATAACATTTTTTTATACAAAAATTCCGGTTTCATTTTCTTCACTAAGCATTCTTTTCCATTTCTCTCGAAATTGTACCTATCTTTACCAATGAATATGATATCGTAGAAGTTGAAATAGCGTGACCCTCTAGTCTTGTATGTTTAAAACCAAAACACAATCTTGTGACGTTGTCAAAGTCCTTGTCGTTTCCAGTATATGGTGTCTACTTTTGCACTGCGAGATAAATGTAATCTTGCTAGTAATTAAGGACCGTCCTGTATCAGTTGAATCACATGGAACTAAGGATACCACAAAAAGAACTTCTCCTTGAACTGAATATTATGCTTCGGTTTGTTTTGGTTGACGATTTCATTTGATGTTGACTTGAACACTGTTCCGAGTATTTGTCCTTAGTTTTCATCTCTTAACAAGAAGACCTTTAAGCTTTAAAAATGAATCCACGTATCTGTAGCGCCTTGCCGATTAGAGAAGTACTACTCGGTTATTCTGGCCATAATTTGTGCGCTGTTGAACTTATGTGTAAACAACATCTATCTTTTAATGAAGAAGTACTAAACTAACAGAGTGATATATTGATTGATTTTTGTTCCCACAACGAAGTAAGGGTCAACAACATCTATTTTAAACATGCTTATGGTGTCTTAAAAAGTACCATCAATAAAATTATTAGCCCAAAAAAAAAGAAAGCCCACTTAATGTATAAATTCAACAAGACACTAAGAAACTACATCAATTACATACACACTAGGAATAGAGCAAACAACAGAATAAGGGAGGTAACGGCAGAAAATTAGGAAGAGTTTAATAAAGAAAGAAAAGGTGATATAACTTTTGCCGAAGAACAAAGAGTAGAGAGAGCAAATGCTGAGGAAACCAAGAAAGTAGAATAATTCACAATAGAGGAAATGGCGCTGCAGATGAAACAACTAAAAAACGACAAGTTGCTAGGTCCGGACAATATTCCCAATGACCTGTTAAAGGTCTAACGAATTACCTAATAGGATCACTCTTTAAAACAAAAAGGAAGGAAAAGAGAAATTTTCCTCCTAGATACGTCCATGAAGCCTTTTTCCCATTTTTTGCAACATTGCATTTTGAAACTCATAACATCAAGCTAGGAACAACAAGCAGGGGAAAAAGCATTAAAAGTAGAAGTAAACGGCCACATGATAGAGCAAATAACATATTACTTATGGATTTTTTAAGGTCTTTATAAAATTAATAATTTTCTAGAATTCTTAAAATATCTTCATGAAATATTCACGACTTATAGAATTATGGTAGGATGGATACGCACACGCAAGAGACTCTAAAACGACTAGGTTTCACATTAGACTAAAGCGGACTATCCGAAATTGTAGAATGGGAAGATTTTAACTTCGTTGTAACTAACAATAAGGCTCAGATCCTCATACGATGAAGACTATGAAGAAATATTGAATATTATGGCTTCAATAAATACTTCTTTTACATTTCGAGTTCAGAATATGGAAATGTTTTCTTCACCATCGTAATTAATGACCAAGGGGTTAATTCAAAAGCTAACTATTTCTTTAATGATAAGGGTAACATAATACCAGACACATTATGAGTTAACTATTCTAGAATAGAAATTCTAATTTGAAAAAAGTAGTGTGAGCGTTGATCATTGATGAACAACGTATCAGTCGTAGTAAGTAATTGGAATTTTTGGTATGTTAATACTTAATCCGGAAAAAAGCAGAAGTTCCAAGTAATTTGAATAATGCCACTTTCTTAGTAACGATACGCAACGTTATAAATTATAATATTTATATTGTTGTATGATTCATCAGATAAAGCAATAAATCGATTTAACTCATACATTATAGTAATTAACTTCAGTTCAACTAACTTTTCTGCAAACAACATAAATCCAAAATAAAATTTTTCCCAACTGCTTTCTGTTTGTTCAAATAATAAAAAACTTTTACTTACTTTGCGGTCGTAGACCAACCTCTTAACTTCTTCGGGCCGTGTTCAAACACAGCGCCGGCGGTTTCTGAAAATCCGAGGACAGGTTGTTTGGACCTTTTGCAAATTTCGTGTGACGCAGCAACCTAAAAAAAATAATTTATATAGAATAAATTAAAAAAAAACAAGATTAGATTAGTCATAAAGAAATTATAAAAAATAGGTGAGGGTTATAATGGTCATTTAAAAAACGTATAATCATATAATGTAATTTTTGTCCATTGTATGTAAATTTTTTATAACTAACTAAAAGGAATTAATTTGTTTACTACACGCGTGTGTACTTGAAAGATTGATTGATAGATTTTTCTTCAATGTACAATGTAATGAGAAAAAAAAACATATTAATCATTAAGACTCGATGTTAGATTTAATTTAACGACATAGAATGAGTCAAATGATTTTTTTATCGCGTTTTATATCAATACCATAATCATTAGCGGACACAAAAATCCGTATTGTATTTTGATTTATATTAATAATTTCTAGATTAATTTAATTTTACAACTTCATAAAAATTTTTGTGCGGTTATTTTTCTTCCTCTGAAATGTTTTTGTACGTGACATAATGTCTCATACGAGTGAAAGGACCTATTTATTAAATATAGAATTGCAATGGATTACACAATGATTGTCAACGAATCTAATGGGCTTTAAATTACGTGTAAATTAGCTGCGGAATTTTACAGTTAGCGAAATATATTTCTGGGACAACCCACAATAAATATTCTAACAGAAACATTTCTTAGAAGTTTCTATGTATAAATTGGAATAACTATTTTTTTTCTAAGTGTCGCACATTATTCTCTAATAATATGTCAAGTACATATTCAGTATCTAAAGTATTTTAACATTACATACAGGGGATGTCCCAATCATGTTGTAATAAAACAACTAGTTTCAAAAGTTAATGATGTAAATCTTTTTATTGTCTACCTCGTAAAATAATTGTTGTTATTGAAATTATCATTGATTTTGTTGTCTCAATTCAACAAATAATAAATAATATGCCGTTTTAGTTATGCCAAGAATTTTAAAAATATTCCATTTGTAACAAACAAAACGTATTTGCTTCAAGGAAATACTCACTTTTAAATAACCTGTGAATATTCAGCGATAATGTTAGTTTTTACAAAGGTTGTAAAACTTTTTTAAACGTTTTTAATTACTCAACCTTGATCTCACATTCGAAATTTGATGATCTAGTTCTTCTTTTAAGAACTAGAACGCCAAAAATATTCCATTCTCCTACTTTTAAATCCTTTAATTATCATGTTTGAAGATGAAGCTGAAAAATTATAGCTTTAAAATAATGTAGTAACTTTCTAAAAAAAATATTGGTTACAAAAGAAGATAATGCATTCGTGTTGTGAAGTGTATTAGATTGCAAAATTCGCCTGTAGATGCAAGTTGAAGTAAGACTGTTGCAAGCCGTTGTCATTAATTTGAAATTAATTTTAATTCAATGCTTCCTATAGCGTTCGCCCAATGTTAATAAGATTCTATATAAATCTTATGATAACATCTAAAATATGTAAGAGTAAACGGAGTTTAAAAGGAAATTGTTTCATAAACATTTTAAGATTAATGATGTACGTTTAATTTAATTAAATTATCAGTCAAATTATATTTAAGTGAAATACTTTAGCAAGCTAAAAATTCAGCATAAAACCAGAAATACTGAAGATATCTTATTAGGAGAAAGAGAGAATAAATCTAAAAAGGCAAAATCTAGAAATAAGTCAGAATTTAAAAGTTGCAATAGAAGTTAGATTGAAGACAACAAAGAACTGAGAACAGAAAAAGTTTCGGAATTAAGAAAAGTTAGTGAAATTGAAAAAATCAATAAACAGCACAAAGTCCAGAAAGTCTAAACAAATGCAAAAGCATCAGGATGAATAAAAAAATAGAAATAAGCCGAAATTAGAAGATATCAGAAAGGCCAGGTAGCAGAAAAAAATCTAGATTCAAGAAAGAGCAAAAGACAGTGAAGAAATTAGTTATAGTGAAGGAGCCAGAAGAAACAAAGGCAAGTTAGAAACGCAGAAATAAGGTTGCACTAAGAAGATACTAGATAAAGAGAAAAAGTACCGAATGAAGCTAAAAAAAAAAAGAAGTTATAAACAATCCAGAAGACTGTATTTATATTCTATAAAGAAAGTTGCATTTGATAAGTTTGCATTTGCTTCAACATGGAAGTTCCAGTTCGAGTTAGCTATAGTTTCACATTTTGGTTGGCTTGTGGTTGGAATGAAAAGAAAACTAGAAATACGTTGAAAATTAGCGAATCTCAGGAACGCCAGAATGAAGAAACCATAATCTAAAGAAAAAATCAGAATTAAGGAGGTTACAGAAAAATACAGTGAAGAAGTTATTAATGTTGAGGAGAACCGAAAGAGTAGAAAGATAGTAATAAAACAAAAACTAAGAAGAAATCTGGGTAGCTACAGCTTCCACAACGAACGTAGATGATATCAGAAAAGTCAGAAAGAAGAAATAAAGACTATAGAGTAAAGAGAAAGAAAGAGGAAGAATCAAAAAAGCATAAAATAGTAAAAAGCATAAAAAAGAAATGAAAAATTTCCTACTTAAGGTGAAAACAGTGAAACAAATTATGAACTCGGAAACGTCAGCAAGGAAAGAAAAATCCTCCTGAACAAACTTAGAAAGAAAGAACCAAAAAATAGATAGAGGCGCGGTATCAAAGCGAAAACTTGAAAAGTTAAGATTGTCACAAAAGTCCGGGAGCTTAACTTTGCATTTTATTAACTTTGTTGTATGGATGAAATTTTGGTGGCATGTTCGAGTCAACATTCCAAAAATCCCAAGGATGGCTGTGCCACATTTTTGAGACTGCGCTAGGCAATGTACAATCTGTCGTTATCAGAGGTAGCATGAAGGATCGTCGTAGAAGTGAAAGACCAAAGACTACCGCGACACTCATCATAGTAAAGCGTAAAATTCTGGGACAAAGTCCACCGAATTCCAAGAGGAGTCTCAGAAAAACAACTAAATAGCTGAATATCAGCCGTAAATCTATGCACAGGATCGTCAAACATCATTTGGGTCATCCTAGCACCAAGATGCAAAAGTCTCACACTTCGACGGAACATATAAAGGCTGTTCATCTTCAAGGCTATCTCTAACTTCTGAAACGCTTCTCACCAGCACAACTCAGCAAACATTTAAGCGACAAAACGACAGAATACTCGAGTGAATGGTTTAAGAAGCGATTACGTGAGGTTGGGAAGTTTTCTGAAAGGGTGGCTGAGCCAACATCAACTCCCAAAACTATTTTGATGAATTTCTGATGAAGGAAGTGCTTCTTTGGAGCCCGTTTCACTTCAGCAGATTCCCCTGGATATGCTAACAAAACTCAGCACCCGCGCACAAAGCTAAGATCCTTGAGACGCTATTCCCCTCAAGAATTTCGACAGTCTGAAGAGCGCCCTTTGGAAGGCATGGGACGATCTCGACTTCGAGTACCTCTCCGCCATGATGGCTGCGTTTCCCAATCGTCTGCGGGCCTGTGTCAAGACGAAGGCTGGATACTTCGAACTTCGATTGTATACTGTTTGTAGTATACTGTTGTTAGTTAATATTTGAATAAAATGTATGCCAAATTTCATGTCTCTATATGCTTCCATCCTGTTTTTATCGACAAAACTGCGGGGCTACAGTACATTTGTGACACCCTGTACCAGTTGAACAGAACGAGACAAATGTTAACGTCAGGTTCAATCATCAGAGTTTTTTAAGAAGCTGTGTCCTATAAAGATCTTTTATAAAGAGAGTCCCAGAAATTTGCGTATGCCAGCAATTCTGTCAATAATAAAAATGAAATGAAAATAGAATTCACAAGAAAGAGGATAAAATATCTAAATGTTATCGAAGCTGGAAACGTAGTAAACTGAAAACATATAAACATTTCAGAAACTCGATAGATACTAACTCGGAGGAAAAGAGAGTAAATCTGAGAAGAATGAATCCAGAAATAAACCAGAATTTAAGTGTTTTCAGATTGCCCATGAATGTGTTTTTGAGATAATAATTTTTTAATTCAATCCGAGTTTTTATGACTATAAAATTAAACATTTTGATCTTTATGACATGCTCACGATTTGCTGAGAAAATGATGTATTTTTTTTATTTTACCAATAAAACAGTACTTGGAAATCTATATTCGTTTTTGAGATAATAATTTAGGAACTCGACCGTAATTTTAAACTTTATAAACAGAACAATTTCTTTGACTCCTCTTTAAAAAATTGTGAAAATTTGAATTGTTACGATATCTTGACGAAATATTGGCGATTTATAGAGGACATTATGTATGAAGTTGCAATGTAATATAAATGAAAGGATCTAAAAGAACTAACGAACTTAAATGATATATCTAAGAAAGTAAATTGTCATGGATTATTAAATTAAATTTATTTATTTAAATATACTAAATTATCTGTTATATTTTACTTTTGTTAAATTTTTTTGTTCTACAATTGTGACTTGTGAATTCTGTGGGTTATCTCATTTCATGATGAGTAAAGTATAATTCTGTCGATGTGCGTCAGATATAAAAAATATCGAAATTTATTTTATTGTTTAACCTATTGCCCCGTTCCAGTTCCAAATTAAATTTACTATATCTATTTATATTATATCTATATAAGCGCGGAGTTCGTTAAGTGTTGCTGTACAATCTTATCCAGATTGGTGTTTATTTATTGTAGGGATTTACGTCGTTAATAATAAAATTGTCTTCAATTTCATTTAGGTAAATGTCACTGTATGCAAGAAGCACTTAATCTGTTGATAGCCGGTTTTAAATTCATAGATTTCTATTGTTAAAGAAAGAAAAGTTTTGGGTTGCGCATAATTTATAATATAATATAAGGCTTAATAAGTTGTTAACATCAATTTTATTTTTAAGCTTTTCTAAGAAGATATTTTACATTATAATCAATCAATACTTTATAACTCATAATAGGTGTAGGTAGATGTGGCCCGTGGGTGTTATTCTCCAGTTGTTGTAATCGCGATAATATCTGTACAAGAGATACGTGTTTCGAGATGACTTGATTTCCTA